CTACTCCTACTCCTACTACTCTATCCCCTCTGCCAAATGGCCTGGAGGATTTTCTTATTGCGGTTCAGGTTTTTGACTACCCCAAAAAGCAGATGTGTATTTGTTCCATAGGGGGGGTTTACTATTAAGATGTTAACATTACTTGATTTGCTTTGGTATAGGAGGCTGTGATTCTACTTGAGGACTCAGGCCAGCACAATCTACTGGGGATTGTCTGCTCAAGCTCTGCTGCCTCATAGATCTCTCCTTGGCACCATCGCAGCATAGAAGTGATCCCATCTGAATCTCTCCAACGAGAACGCGTACAATGCGTCAGTGAACAAAGGGGTTGATGATGCAGTCCGTGACATGTGTCGCTATATATGCCGCTGCCCATCATCAAAGCAAAGCAGCTGGTGAAACGCCACTCTTGTGGGATCTTCTACGTTTATGTACGAAGGTAGGGTCGCCATCCCGTCTCCTATAAGCTGCAAATGCTCCCACGATCCGCACCACAAGGAGAAGGCTGGCAAAGAATGCAAAAAGCAAACTCAAATTGACAATGACAATGATCTTTTGTGAGCCTATGCATAAGTATCCGGGAACCACAGCACGACTATAAGCTTTTTGTGAGAGCAAGAAGGGATGGTTTGCAATGCTACAGTGGTGTGTTTTGCCACTGTGTGTCAGATTGCCGGAAATGAAAGGCTCGTTTTGCATTTGCAAGCACTTTGGCCTGGCTGCACGCTCCACGTTGGCCTTGGAGGGAAGATCAGTTGGGGCCCCATCAATGGTCCAACACCCGAACCTGACAAGTCATTGCAAACATGCGTCAATTGTGCTACAGGATTCTGTATCCCAAATGCCTCCCTTGACTGGCTCTCTGCAATGTACACGCTCCTCACTCTTTTACCTGCACTCGGCACAAAAGCAAAAGCCCGGTCACGCATTCAGCCTCTGACAAAGAGAGAAATGGCTCAAGGGAGCCAACCACCTGCATTTTTGGACAGGGACTGCAGCCCCTCAAAACAACTTCGAGAAACATCCACAACTGGTGATGTTGTTCTAACTTATCGCCCACATTGCAGAATCAAGACGCAAAGTGCTTCTGTTGCCTCATGCCCACGCTAACCTTTGACCTCTCTTATTCTACACATGCAAATCTTACTCCACTCATTGTGGCTGGACTGTCACAAAGCAACACGTGACCCAAGGCAAGTGGCAGTGCTTCTGCGTAGGACTGGAGTTGTGTCTAGAGCCGGGCTGATGCATTTTGCAACTAAATTGTGATGCTTCAATTGTCCTTCGGAGGTCGTGTTGAGTTCTTCTCGTGCTGTGTAGTGTAGTTACCACAAATAACTCACAAAATCTCATTGTTGCATAGCACGGTTGAACCCAAGCATCTCTTAACCCAACCTATCGGCCGAGGCCCGTGCTCCAGCTTCATGGCCCCTGGCAGCTCGATTCGCACTTGGATGCACGGATTGGAAGATTGCCAACATGCGGCAATGCCGTTTTTTGTGGATCTATACCCAGATGGGTGGAACCAAAACTTCAGTTACATGCTCCACATGCTGTGTCCATCTTGACCTTCTTTCCCCGAGTGCATGCGGCAGCCTTCACTAGGAGCCCTACCTACAGCACCTTTTTGGAGTCAAGCTAGCAAGGCCTCTCATAGTTGTGTTTCCAAGAGTTTTTTGAATGCAAAGTGAGCAACAGCCAGACCCAGGATCCGAAGCGCATCCAGCAAAAACTGCTGGGAGGAGGCCAGCTTGACACGCACGAAGGCGATGAAATATCTAGACATAATTAATTAATCATAATTACATAAGTAATTGTGTACGCCCATGCATCTACAAGGGGTCGACCTCAGATCAGCATATCAGTACAGCTGCTTGCCTCCACCAAAGCTTGGGAAGCTCAGGCCACTTGTCCCAATTCTCCGTGAAGCTTATGGCAGAATACATGAAGGCCTGTCACAGGTCAGGATCAGTAGGACATCGCGGGTCATTTCAACCTCTGCTGCCCCTTCAGGATTCTCAGCGCCCTTCAAACTCAATACAAAAGCGTTCGCTGCGCAACCAGCAAGTCTGCATCTTTTGTCTCAGGGGGTCGTTCAATGAGCATTCAACCAAATGACCGTAGGGCTCATGACGCTTGTGATAGCTGCTAGCGGAGCGAAGCCAAGGAAATCTTCCATGGGAACAAAGGCGCATTTATCTTCAAAGAAGCTTCAAGTCGAACTTCCTCGAGTGGCATTGTCGGAAGCTAACAGTTGTCACAAATCAATGGCCGACAAAATTGGTGGGATTCGGCAGAAGATTTCATCCAAGCGATTTCACCCAAGCAAGCAAAAAATACGTCTGGCGCGCTTCCACCGTAACCGTAATCGTAACCAGCTTTTAACCTTTCTAACATGGTTTTTGGCATGAATATCATGAATGGCTTTGGGTTTGTCACTAGCTAGCAGCCTTGTCCAGAGCTGGGTCATGCGTGCGAGATCGCCCACATTAGCGTACTGGGCCGGTGCCGCTGCTGACTCAAATCAAAGGCATAGTCGGCATAGTTTTAATGGAGCCTCATGCAGAATGCACGATACTGGCAAGCCAATTCATTGAAATGTGCCTGTCGAAGCACCACCCAGTGAATTTACCCAAGGAGTTCAGCCGTGGTCATGGCTTCAGCCACAGTTTCCTGGACTTTGTAAGAGATGTTCATGTTTTTTGATAGATGTTGATGTTGCATAATTATGCAAAATTACAATCAATACAATGCCTGAGGCAATCTAAAGGGTGCCATCATTCCAAGTCATTGCCACCCCAGGTCAGGTGTGAAAGAACTTGACTGCCGGTAAGAGCATGAACAACAGGGTATGGGTAGACTTGCAGAATGCATGCATGAGCTGGCCATGAACAAGTCCGCAACTCCTCCCATTTGTGGATCGGGTTTTCGAATTACATGCTTAGTGGCTACAACTGGCCCAGCAGGGGCAGTCAAGAGCCAACCTTGAACTGTTCTGTTCAGCAAACTGGTGCCAGAGGCACTCGCATTAGAATGTGCATTAGTTGCTTGGCAAAATTAAAGCGCCATCATAGCATCCCAGTTCACTCCTTTGACTCAAAAAACAGGCATACTGCGCATGCTGACTGAGCTGTCCATCACATTGGGGACTCAGCTGTGGTGGCTTGCGACTCGAAGCTTCGTAAGACCTCGCTCCTACGGATTGCCAGGAGCTTGGCCATTTAAAGGACGACTGGATCTCTTCGGTTTGCAATGTCTGTAGAGCCGAACAGCTCTCCATGCTCGTTTTCATTAGCAGTCAAAATTGATGGAATTGAGAGCCAAGCGAAGGAATTGACTACATGTGCAGGCAGAATAAACTGCCGCCCTACAATTAAAAGACCTTTTACAGCAAAAGGACCTACATAAAAGTGCTCCCCAGTCCTTTGCGACTCGCTGTCTGGTGAACCTGAGGTCTGGCTCCAAATGCATCGGGCACCAAAAGGTGTCGCCTGCAGGCAGAAACAAACAAATGCAGTACAAATCCAAAGACTTGTAGATCTTTGTAGACCTGCTCGCGTGGGTGTCCCTACAACCCCCGGGCACCTGTCTCTCGTGCTTGTGAAGCATCTGATCCACCATGTCAGCGGTCCCTTCGGTTCCGTCCTTCGGCAAATGTGTGGCCATGCGGGCTTAACTTGATGTAACGGGACACTTGTCGCTGAACACTCGTCACCGGAATACTTATTTAAATGACTTTTAATGGTCCAGTGTGCCCAGCATCTAGCTGGTCAACTGAGAATATAAATATATATATTATATAACTATAAGTTGCTGCCGGTACCCTCAGTCGCCTGGTGGTTTCGTGCTGTTGTTTCTTGTGATTCTGCTTTGTTTGTCTTGATATCCATCAAACAACTTGTCGTTGATATCATAAGATTGTCATCGATGTCATTGGTGTCATGGCTCGTCACCACCATACGCCTTTGTCGTTTTCGAGCACTTCGTGTAAATTTGTGTTGTATTTTGCCGTGTTTCCAAATACCCGCAGGCCAACTGGGAAGAAAATGATGGAAAATTCTGTACGGTATTGATGCACACACGCGCATTTGGGGAAGGAGATGGGTGGGGGGGTTTTAATGACCCTAGTTTGGATGTACTTCGACTATGACGCCACCATACGCCACCTGCACAGACACGCTAAGTCTAAGAAAGCGGTTGACTCTGATGTGAATCCAGCTTGAAATTCTACCAGGGCGCACCAGCACTTACATATACAGAGGAAATCACAGGAAAGAATCACAACCTAATGAGTGCACTTGGAAAGCTAGCATCTGAGTGATGAAAAAGAATAACATAGAATAACTCTGGCGCGCGGATTTTTCGCATTGTGGGACATGTGCATGTGCGGAATACTTACTAGGGGAAATCTTACACGCGAAACGAAAATTACTAGGCGAATTGGGGCGCCCTGGGCCGTGACCACAAAGTAAATTCAAACAATTCGGAGTGCGGCACACTTCAAATTGACCAACGGCAGTTTCCGTGTACAGAACTCCTGACTGGTGTGAAAAGGCTCGAACGCACCCACTCTGACGCGGTCTTTGTGAACGGCTCATAATAAATACATCAAAGTCTGACCATCCACCGGCGTTCTTTTGAACCAAAGAGGTCGGGGTTTGAGAGTGCATGCATCTGTGGACAGTCAAGGCATGTCCTCCAACCGCACCCACTACTCGCATGTCTTCACTGCATTGCATGGCTGCAGCTTGATGTCAACACAAATCTGAACATGTCCGTGCCGGCATGATGGAGACCACTTACAACCGCCGCCATTAAAAAGAAACGGAACCCACGAACCCGAATGCACACACGCACTCAATGTTGCCACTCTTGTGGGACTCTTGTGTGGGACGCTCTTGTAGGGCACTCTTGTGGGACACTCTTGCCGGAATTCTTGCAGAGCACTCTTGCAGGACACTTTTGTAGGCCAGTCTCTTGTGGGACCCTCTTGTGGGACACTCTTGTACACCTCCAAGAACTCCCTTCACCAGCGAAACGCCGCATTTACACACGCATGTTCTTCTTGTCCAGTGGCACGGAGCCATTCAACGCACTTTCCACCAAGGCCGTGCCAAACCACATGGCACACCAACATCAAAGACGTACTGTAATTTCACCCGCCCACACGCCAATCCCAATGTCACAGCGACATTCACCTCCACCAAAAGTCTCAACCTCACGACCCCCAGCCTGCCACAAAAATTCAACTTCCACACCGCCAGCACGCACAAAGCACCGTGCCTGCCACAAAAGTGACGACGTGACATGTTCATGTCTTCAGCAAATTTTGCACCGCGCCACGACATTTTTGGTATGGTTTCAGCCCTTTCGGCGCAAGAAAACTATTTCAGCTAAGACTTGCCAAGAAGCACAGCTTCGAGGCAACAGCCTCAAACGCAAGTCTGAGTGGCACAGCGACATCCAAAAACTCCAACCGACCACCCTGCGAACGCCAATCTCAATGGCGCAGCGGAGCGAAGGAAACTGAGGATCTCACGAAACGCTGCACCTGCGCAGCAAAATCATCCTCCACACTTCCTACGCTATTTCATGCTATTTCACACGAATCTGGCCCTGGCACTTGACGCTTCCATCCAAAACCTCCAAAAGCTTCCCCCAATGGCCATGCCTTATCGATCACATTCCAACGGTTTGCGGACGGTTGCAAACGAAAGCAACGTCACGCGAACAATGCTCTACCCTCGCCCTCACACTCCAGTTGAACGAGAACCCTTACAGGCTCGTTGAAAAATCAAAAACTGCGGCACCGAATTGGCCTCATCGGGGTCTTCCGGCTGCATCTTCTCGTCTTGTTTGTCCTAGACGGCGTGACGACAGCACAGCGAGACATGGACCTGGAGCAACCCCCGCAAATTACATAATGTGCTGGGCACACGGCAACCTCCACGTTGAGTGTCTTCGAGACCTTGACACTGAGTGGGAGTCCAATGCGAGCTCAAATTGTCGTCTTGCTGTGCTTGTTGGTCGGGTCTGTTCTGGGCATAGTTCATACACGTTGTGATTAGGAGAAAGTTGTGTCGGCCTGTTGGAGTTTGCTATTGAACCAGCCGCTATTGTTGCTTTGCCTCGCTTTTTTGTAGTTGCTGGGTGGGCCTCGAGTATTTGCAAAGTAAGAGGATGCCTGGTCCATGCATCATACACCCATTCTCAGGCTTTAAGCCCATTTGACGTTGCTAATATGTAAATATATATATATTATGTATGTGTTCAGTATATTATATATATTATGTATGAGCGACATGCAAAACCCCTTGTGTGTTGTAGTGCGCCCAACGATGTCATGTTTTTCTGTGAACCTTATCATTCCTGAGGGTTTGGACACACCTAACATCATGCACTGAAACCTTATCGTTTTTCTTGTGAACCTTATCGTTCCTGAGGTTTCCCTAATTTTACTTACTTTGTCTTCACTGTTGTGATGCTGCCTTCATCGAAGGTTTTGGCAGTTGCTCATGTGTTTATTATATGTGTATGTATATATATATAGTTATATATATATATATCTGTGTGTGTGTTGTGTGCATTCCAGATGTTTCGTCCCTGGTGGGGCGGTGGGGCAATGTGAGTTCCTCTGGGTCGCTGCTACCACCAAAAATACCCAGACCTTGTCTTCCTCTTCATTACACAAATGAATATGATCCCAGGTGTCCTCCTGACAGGAAAAGTCCAAGTAATGTCAGCACGATCTCATTTTTTGACGTAATCATGCAATCAACATGATCGAGTCGACGATTGCCGTCCAATTTCTTATTTACCGCCCATGTCCTGGGTCACTCGACGGGTCTTCCCGAGTAAGACCGCAGGAGCAGCCGGACATCCTGCAAACTGTTCCTCCTCCGGTGCTTCTGAAGCACCGTCTGCTTCAAGCACTGGCGTCGCTTCCTTCTCCTGGAATCCATGGCCTTGCCGAACTTCCATCACAGAATCCCTCCATCTTTGGTGCAGCTGGCCTCAGTTGTACCGACATTAAGCTCTTGGTAGCTCTTGTGTCTCTTGTCGAACCCTACCTGGTTACCTAGTACCAATTCAAAAGAACAAGGTAATTACTCTGCATTGTCATTATCCGAGGGACATAGATCACTTGCAAAATGCAGATCTTCTTCCACTGCCTGTAGTCGCTGTTCGGCTTTCTCACGCGCTTCTCTCCTAAGTGCTTTCATGGAATGCGATGGACGGTCCTCAAGAGCTACGCTGCGCTATATAATATAGTTTTAGAAAGACTATCATCTCAAAACGGGGTTGCAATTCATGCTCATCTCTGGCTATTCACTACGGTAGGTTTGCGTTTCTTCTTCGCATCGTTACTTGCAGCCACAGCTTCTCCACCAAAGACAACTGTTGAGTCATCAAGCGCCGTGTCAGCACAGCCGCCCTGATCCTTGCTAGCCGACATTCATTCCAATCATCTGTCTGCTTCATATCAGCACCTTGAGGACTTGAAGTCAGAAAGGTAGATTAGGGGGAGAGGTTTCATGGGGCATGTGTTCAGTGCTACAGGAATGTTAGCGCAGAACTTCCAGGGGCCCTGGCGAAAGCCAGCTTCATTTTGCTCCAGCATCTTCTCCAAACAGCGACGCACTTCCAAGTTCTTGGTCAGCTGGGGCCCACTTGTTTCCATGGCTTCGCCTTGGGGGCGGCGAGCTCACTGGCAAGACCTGCAATGAATGTTACAAAGGAAGTATAAAATGTCAGCAAAGACATTTCAGCTAATTTCAGCTCAGCTACCAAATATCTCGAAAATCTGCCGCACAGTCTCGTCGAACTCTGCTACCGACGGCCGAACGATGCACCGATTGTGGCTTGGTGCCATGGCGAGTAAACGGGCTCTTGTTTCTATGGGTCTGTTTCTGAGCCCTACTACTGAGGCAGCACGAAAATAGCCTAACAGCAGCATCTACAGACTTGTAGCTGCAGAATCTCCAGTAGGATTCGGATAAATGGGTGCTTTCAAGGGATGTTTCCAGCACTCTAGGTGAATCTGTGCTTATGCTCCAACACCTCCAAATTGCTCTTTTTGCCTTCAGAAAATGGGACATCATGGTGGACTAGAATTAGAACAAATGGCCGAACACTGCTGGTGGTTTGGAGATGCTGCATCGAGGGACATTCCCACATCAGGATCACTGTTTTCTGCCCACACGTTTTGAGTGCTCCCCAAAGGCGGCCTTACGAGTCGATTAGAGTGCACCTCCAAAGTTGGCGGATCAAAGAAGCTTTCTGACTCCCAATGCAGCCAACATCTGCACCACCGTTTAGGGCTGCATTGGCACTGAGCACCACATGTTGCAGGTAGCACCAGCTGAGGGAAAGACCGACGGCAGAACCAGTATCCAGCCCAATCACCTTGTCCTGTGACGTCTTAAAGAAGGCAGAAGAGTTTGATGAAGCAGTTTGCAGCCCATGAAAGTACCTTTCTGAAAGTGATGGTCAGTCCTTCGCAGCAAGGACGCCCTTCTGCATAGCAAACCTGAGGTGCATTCGCCACATGCATGCCCTCAGCACATTCCGAAATACTGTAACCTTTTCGTCCTCACAGGTTTGTGAAGGCCACAATGGGCTCTGCTTAGCAAGGCCTTGAGGCACAAGCATGCTTGCACCCGTCACATAGCCGCAACTGCTGCAAAGGGTTCAAGATCCCTGGACAGACCTGCAAAAAAGTAGCCATTTCACGCTTAAACAGGCGTTGAGCAGGTGTTCTTCACACAATGGGTGACAGATGCCAAACCTCCATGCTCCAGCATCTGACCTGTAATCACACCGAACCGTCCAAAGACGCACTTCATGTTCATATCAGGCAAATGCGGGTCTTTTTGGTAAGCTGCTGAGATACCCTAGTCTGAAATGTGATCTTCCTTTGACTTGTCACTTGTCTGCCTTCTTTTCTTATTTTCTGCTTTGCTTGACTTATCTTGTGCTTCAAACATTTTATACATATAGAGAGTCTATAGACAGAGAGAGAGAGAGAGCGAGAGAGAGAGAGAGAGAGAGAGAGAGAGACCTCTCTATGTCCTCCTGTTTTTTGCCGTTCTTTTTTGACCTTTTTTGGCTAGCTTCATGGCCAAATGCAATTTTCATCGGGGTTGGGGCCTGATAAGTCCATGTGCTGCCTGTGCATCAAGGTAAGGCTCGGGCATAGGAGCCATGAAACCGCAAAGGGAGCGGGAGCAGCCTGAACAAAGGGGTTGAGCAACGGCGTATATATGTATATATATTATATATATATGTATACATATATATATAATATGATTACATTTATATATAATATATATATACACACAACATCAAATATAATCAAATCATACCATACACATTGACAGTGACAGTGGCCGAGAAATTGGATGCAACTTTACGCTCACAACCTTTTGAATGATTTTGCAGGCCTAGTCTCTGCAGCATCCAAATTTCCCTCACCAGTGATGGCCAACCTCAGAGGGAGATTCTTCAAGCATCTACAAGTACATCACACTCCCCGACACCACGCCCGAAGGCAACAATTGCAGAAATGCATGGTGGTTGTTTGGTTTGTGCCACAGACCGGTTGTCACATGTTCTAAGATTCTTGCAAAGTGCTCTCCGAGGCTTGGGGCCTGGGATTAAATTGGCCAGTCACGGACAGTCGGACACTCTTCGTAGCACTTGGAACTTCAAACATCTTCAAACCCAAGGCTTTCGAGCTACCCTGAGGTTGCTCCAGTTAGTTATCCATGGCTTTCGAGTGATTCAAGGCCTGCGACGGAGAGGACAACGGAAGCGGTGTTCCCGAACCTTGGAGTGTTGAAATTCAATTGGCTGCTGTCAATCGATGTTTGACCCCTCTCCAGACCTCTCTACCCATCAAACCAATTGAGCAAGTCTGAGGCCGACACCCATCTGAAGGTGATGTTAATCCGTTCCTTGAACATGCAATCTTGTTCCTAGTAGCGTCCTTGTTCCTAGTAGCGATGCCAGGAGCCCCTAGTA